TTTTTTCCCCTATCCCAAAATTCAAAAAAAAAAAAAAAAAAAAAAAAAAAAAGTCCACTGTACATATCTTGTTTTAAATAAATCAAAAAAGTTTTATTCCATCCTTTCCAGCTCTAGAGGCAAAAGATGCAACAAAGAAAGACACTCAATTTTTTGACCTTTGTTAAAAAAAGTGTGCAGTATTTCCAATTTTTAGGGAGCAGAAATCTTATTCACTGTTTTCTTCTAGAAATTAAGGAAAAATTGAGAGATCTACTCAAAGTGAGAACATAAATCACATATTCAAAGTATTTTCAATACTTCCTTCATGAAAAAGAGTCAAGAATCAGTTTTAGGATAAATTTCCCCAAATGCCGTACTTGTTTTAAGGTATAGAGCAGGGTGATAGGAAAGGGAATTGAAATATCCCTTCTATGGTCATGTAGTTCAGGTTGCTTTAAAATCTACAGTGCCCCAAATGGTTAAGTAATCTACATACACAAATGTTATTATTTCCTTGGAGGGGGGAATACCAATCAAATATCGCAGCCCGATGGCATTACTTAGACTTCCCAAAATATAAGCACAGAACAGCTATTTATGAAACAAATCAATAGACTCGAGGCAGGAGTTCACAAGTTATATGGCCAGGATTGTATACATGAAGGAAGACTAAATATGATTGATTATATGGGATCAACTTCTGATCTAACATAAAAACTACTTGGTATTTTTGATCTCTTCATATTATGTATCAGATATCAATTATCTATTAAGCATAAACGAAACAACTAGACATGAATTTATCACTACTCTATAATTTGCGGAGTATCAAAGTAAATAAACTTCTGCATTCTGATATTTTGAATTACTTCACATTTCTAAAGCTGATGTTGTAAGGTATTTTCATGCCAAGAAGAATTTCAAGAATTTCAGTCATGCCAAAGATACCATGATTTGTTCTTCCCTTAACACAACTACCAGCTACTTACAGGTCAATTGCATGAAAAGTGATAAGCATTTTCTTTTCAGGAAGCAGAAAAAACAAAGCAGAATTTCTTACGTACTGACTGAAAGAAAAACAATCTATATAACTTGAACAGTCTTTTTTTGTGACAAAACAGATAGTATAGGCTGAAGCCTAAGGATGTTTGTGATGTAGCTGAACCTAAATGGGACCCTGAGAGAAGACTGCAACTAAGACATGAATGTGTTTCCACTAACACATAAATTGATATCAATCCACAGGGTGCTATCCCTGTCCCACCTGCCCCTGCCCCACAAAAAAATCTAACATAGTATTACGCTACTATTTGATAAAGCTTTTCTAGGCTCAATTTAAGGATTAGTGTTGGCTGGAAGCCTGTTAGCTTTACAGTGCAGTCTTACAGGCATTTCCTCACCTCACGCATGCTGGTTACAGACAAAGTAGCAGATACATGCTCTATTTTTTTGCATAGTCCAATACAGAATTCAAGCTATTGATTCCCAGGAACTTTCATTAACAGTATTCTGAAATCTTAATTATTATGGAATGTTTTCATGACTGTACACCAGCTAACAGCCTAATTAGTTCTCTTTTTAGTGCACAAACAGAAGAGAATCTGAGATAGAAGCATACAGATTTTTTTTTTTTCTTCACAGAAGAGAACCCAGGCATGCTGGACTAATGCAAAAGGATTAATAATGAATTAGTCCTTTATGAATTATCATGGAGAATACAGTCTTCCTTATGAACACCAAGATAAGGCAAGGATATGAGCAACTAAGGTCACGAAACTCGAACTAGAGACAGGCAATATTAAAAAGAGCCAAGATAAAGGGAGAAATTTAGGACTGATAAATGAAGTGAGAAAGTACACTAAAACATGGAGGATTCCAGTGTAATTGAAAACATTGCTTCTGAGTTGACATATGCACATCGTGTACCATCTAGATAGTGCAGTGCTGAAACAGAAACTCTGACATACATCTGTACATCAAAGTCTTCAAGACTCTTTCAAGATGAAAGAGTTGGCCAAACTGCAATCAGAATACAACTTCCCTCTTCAGGTTTATCTTGAAAATTAAGAGATGAATAATCTCGTGAATGAAGTTCCACAAGAGCATCACCTTCCACTCTCCATGTCTCAAACTTGACAGTTCTTGTTTTCAATGAGAAACCACAGCATTACATGACCAAGGTATGTATTAATTACTCACATTTCATTTTAGTCAGTAACATCTCTAAATACAGGTTTTGATATCATAATAACTAACTAACATTTAGATAGGAAAATTTTTTACTCAATTCCAGATCAGGAATGATCCATTTAATCTTCAAAACATTGTGATTTTTAAAAACTTTTCTTCACTACTGATTCTATTAGCAGTTTGTGCCTTCTGCTTAGCAACAACTACACTATAGCAATCCTACTTCTAGATTCCACTCTTGTAAGCTCGATCTCCTTCCTGTTGCTCAAACATCTTAGTATCCATTCACTATTGAGGTTTTAAGCAAAATGGAAATCAGATATTATCTGATATTATTATCTCTTCACCTTTGCTTTTCTGATATAAGAAAGCATATGTTAAAGATTTTCCACGTCTTTTTCCATAGTAGCCATGTTAAGCTTCCAATGCAAAAACAGTGATAGTGACAATGATGCAGGTGACACTGACACCACTCCTGGACTGGCTCTCAACCAACTTCAGGGAAAGGGGATTAAAACATAACTGACAGATCACTGACACTAGTGTAGGTTCAGTTATTTTAGCAGTACTGCCTGCCTTTAATATACTAAATGTATTACATGCATCTCTCCGTTCTAGATTGTTCCTCTGCAATTCCTTGATATTTCATGTATAGTAAAGCAGATAAAGAATACCCCCACATGGTCTTCAGCCATGTGTTTATCTTTCATTTTATTACCTTTAAAAACAGATTTAGGATTACCAGATAACCATCAGTTCTGCTACCACCCTGTTTCTATTTCACTATGTACTAAAATAATACTTTTAGCCCACAGAAGCCATTAATCTTTTCTACTATAATCCTAACCTTAGGTAACTACCACAGTTATCAGAAAAATAAAAAATGGAAAAAATAAGAGCCTGCATTTGCCTCTTTAAGCAAGCAATGCAAAGCTGCTAAGCAATTTCCACTTACCTTTATCTCAGGCTCTTTTTCACATTCTTCTATATACAAATCATAAAGTTTTTGAAATAGAGATTTTCTGTAATTAAAAAAAAATCTTAATATAAAAGCAAATTAAAGAAAATCAAATATTAAATACTGAAATACTTAAATGTATGCTACCTTCCACTGGGCAAATATTTTCGTTTGGGAGGTCTCTGACGGGCACTTTCAATTATATACTGGAAAGGAAATGTAAAATAAATATAAAACTTGCATTAAAATACGACGTAAGTTTTGCTACCAAGCTACTTTTGATCATTATCAAGCATTGTTCTATGTATACAGTATATAATTACCATAGTTATGGTAAATAACTGTCAAACTTATTAATATGATCTACTCTATGTTATATTCATTAACAAAGAAGCATTTCTCAATTCAATTATGAAACACTTTGAGCACTTATGAGCACTTTGTGGTATGGAATAAGTCACAATTAAAGTCTTAATCTATACCTACATTTTGTAATTATAGTAATATTTACAGACATCTTGTTTACTGAAGTTAGCATGTTACAGCAAGTTTACATCACATTTTGATTTTAGATCATGTCAATACAGTTAAATTTAAGTGTATTGTCTCACAGTATTTACATATCAACATAATTAACTTAATTATTTTCCCCTTGTCTCTTGCATCAATGCTGTTTGACTAATTTATAGAGCCATTTGTTATAAAAGCAATTTATGTACATTAGACATTTTAAAAATGAGTGATACCATAATCACGATACCATACCCATTAAAGGTAGCTTTAAATTTGAAAAAAAATTCCCTAAGAGTTTCTCTTGAGTATTTTTATTAAAATTTTAGAGTAGAATTTCAGTGAAAACAAAACTCCTTCAGAAAAATGTATTTCCTCAAAAGGAAGCAAATATGCACTACATCCCATGTTGCCTTGAAAGAACTTGAATGTAAAAGCATTTGTCTCTGTCATAACTGGGTTACCCTTAACACTACAATCATGATTTTGCCATAGATTTTTTTAAGGTTTCTCTGATTTTAAAGCAAATTATCAGTATACAGCTCTTCTTATTTCCCAGTGTATTGCTGTGTTTTTGAAAAGAATCGTGCGTGTTCAATTTTCATTGCACCTGAAGTTCTCAATATGCTTGGAAAGAGACAAATGCCTGGCTTGGCAGTTTTATCAAAATTTTTGTAATTCAGTGTTACATGTATTTGTGGTTATATATATGCATAAGTGCACACACAGAGCCCATCCTCATTTTTTCACAAGAAATACAGAACCATAATATTTAAGTAGCAGCCCAATACATTATTTATGTGCAAATATCTTGGCTACTCCTTACCTCTGCACGATCCAATGCCAGTTCTAAAGCTTGTTGCTGCAAGAATTATAAACAGCTTCTTAGAAAATATGTTAATTATATAATCTTGTACTAAATTCTGTTACTATTGGCATTAAGTAATTTTTAGAAGATATAGTCAAACATTGTTTTGCACATACTAAACTTGGCAGCTGAAACGTCAGTTAAATGAAATAATGGTCATTAAACTCCTAGCAAGTGTCTGCACTTTCAAAGTTTTAACCAAATAAGGAGGTGTTAGAAAAATGACAGGCAATTAGAACTAAGAGCAGGAATAGAAACCATATGGAATAAGGGTAATGAAAACAGTTAATCAAAAAAAGTTACAGGCAACAAACAGAACACCTTTTAGCTGCTCTTAACTTGGATGCCAATACATCTGTAAAAGCAGGCAGGTACAAGTATTTTAAAAGAGAAGTAGTAATGTAAAAGGTATTCTTGAACAGCAGCCCAGAAATAAAACATTCAGTGCTAAAGATACTGTTGCCGATGTATACGGATAGTTATTTTTTTACACAATGGAAATGCAGGTCACGGACTGAGAGAGCTACTTCTCTGCACAATACAATGCTCTGCTCCTTGGGAAGAGTTTCTAATGATTATATTATTAGGTGGCTGAGAAATTCATGCAACCTCCACTCCAGATTTCCTCCAAGGCAGGTTAAGCAGTATGCCTGGTCCTAGGACAACACACTGAAATCCTTATGAGTAGAGACTCCAGTAGAGACTAGACTTTAGAACAGAATTCAGTGAAGACAAGCATACTAAACAAACAAACAAAAACAACAAAAAAGGAAATATATAGGAAAACATTTACTTAGGCTTGTTATCTTTCACCTAGAATTTCTCTACTATAAAATTTTTTATCTGTTCTTGTTTTTATCTGTTCTTAAGGGAAAAAAAAAAGCACCCATGGAGAGTGTGCTTAGTGGATAGTTCTCATTAGAACCTAAAATACAGCACATCCACATTTTAAAGTGTTTGGGTATCTATACAGCTACATCCAACTTCCATGTTTCTTACATAAACATATAAGATAACCCCATGATTTCAGAGATTCTGTTCACTTTTTGCTTGACGCTAGAGAAAATCCAGCCATATTAACTTGTAAACAGAACACTAAAAAGCTGAGTAGAGTCAGAATTTGTACCTAATGATCTGTTGAATAACCCCAGTCACGACTGAAAACACACCACTTGCTTTATATGGCAATTCCTATGATGCATTGGGCAGCTAAAGTGTTGAGGAACAACATACACAAGCTACAAAGCAAGATATTGCTGAGAAAAAGGAAATGATGGAAACTCAAGAGTGTAAAGTAAAAATCAAATTTCTAAGATGATGATAAATGTTAACAACATTCTCCCTCCTTATTGCCCACACAACTAGCACAATGGAGAAAAAGACATCTGAAAACATATTTGAATCATAACTTACCATTGTACTTGAAGCCAGGTGGCCAAATGGCAGATGAAATATCTAAGATGTTTGGTGCAGTAGGTAACAAATCATATTTTTGGTTACACTTAAGTTACTGAGAAGTAAAGGAGAAAAAAAATATATATATATATATAAAACTAAGAAACTAATCAAGCATTTTAGTTATTTAAATTCAATCTTTAAAACTGTTAATTGCTTTGATCTCATTTGCATAGTAGCCTTCACCAAAAAGTATAAACAAAAGTGCCAAGTGCAGAAGTCGCTATTCAAATGACCGCTGCTACTTTACACAACCACTTTACATCAGAGATACTAATTAGTAAAGTAATACCAAGCACATAAGAGAAATTACATAGCCAAATCCGATGTTTATTGCAGCAGCCTACCTAAGCACCCTAAGCACAGACACCATGTCCAGAAAGGCAAAGGAGTCTGCAGCCGGTAATTGCAAATGGCCAGCACATCTATCATATGACATTAGGTTTTTGTTTTACTTTTATGAACGCATTAATTCACAGAGTACACCTGCACCAGTAGCGCCTTGTAGCAGTATTTTAAGATGTTAGTTTAATACTGACTCACTGCAGACTGTCAATTACGAGGCAAGTGACATTTTCACAGCTCACCAGAATTCTGTAGACATCCTTGTGTATTGTTCCCCTTTATCATTTTTTTAATTCAGCTAGATAGTTGTATTAGGTAAAATAGGTTTAATGAAAGTAATCTTAACACTATCTGCTTGTTCCTGATAACACAGTTACTTCTTAGCATCATCAACAGAGATGTGAAAGTTAAAGTCAATCTTACATTTGAACACAGGTCTTTTCCCATGATTCTATGAATATTACAATGCCTGGAAGCATTTGCAATGAATTACAACTTTCCTTGCACAAGGAAGCTTGCACCTTGCAATGAATTACAACTTAGGAACTTTCCTTGCACAAGGAAGCTTGCACGTTTAGCTCATGCAAACCTTTCTGTGGCACCTGCACTTCACATCTGCCTTGTGCACGGGCAGAATGTAAGCCTCTTCCCAAGCTTTCGAGGGCACCCGTGTGCCCCAAGGACCTGCCAGAGGCTCCCTGCTCGTCTTTGCGCGCACAGTGCCGCTTCCCACAGGCAGCGCCCGCTGAAAACGAGCGCCCCGGCACGCCCCACCATGGCACCGCTGCGGAGGGAGGGCCCGATGCGCAGAGCCGGCCTAGCTAAGAGAGTG